GCACAGGACAGAGCGGAGTTTAGGGCTGTTGTACATAGGGTCGCTATGAGTCGCAGGCGACTCGACGGCACATAACAACAACAACTCAATATGACTTCTTTTATTTAAAGTTATATAATCAAAACCTGTTAGATTTGTTTTAAAGTATCTGTTTGCTTTTAATAGTTCAATGTCTATGCAATGCTAATTGAAGCTTTGAAAATTAAAATGTGTCGTATGATTGTAATGCCTCCACACATTTACCTGAGTGTTCTGTATCTGGAATTATTGTAACTTTTTTTTTTTACAATACTAAATTGAATCTCTTGCATTCATCATACTTTTTAATTTATGAGATTATATTTTATTCATAATAAACATTTTCTTTATCTGAAAATTGATTCCTGAATAAAAGAATTCTCATTAATTTAGTTACATATATCTCATTATAATTACAGAGATTAGCATTGCCTTAATGGAAGAAATTAATAATACAAATTAGCAGTATCATAAGCAGGAGTAGCATCCACTTCCTTAACAACATGCCTCTGGAAACTATGAACTTTAAGAAATGATGGTTTTCTAAAGGCTTCAGGTCTTTTGTTAATAGGGTCACTATGAGTCATGCTCGACTTGACAGCAATCAACAACAACAATTGTTTCCATATAACTCTTTAAAGTATTATAGGAAAGAAATCTAAAAACATTTAATTGAAAAAAAAGTATGTGACCCATTGAAATAGCTCCAGTATTTGCTTTTACTAAATGGCAAATATGCAAAACATCAGTTAAACCCACTCTCTCTTTTAAGGTATCAGAATGAGTTGGCAAATGGAATATTCTTTTTTTATATATTGTTTGTATTTTTTCAACTAAATGATTTACCCCTTAATGATATTTATATAGTAAGCACATTGATAGAATTCCATAGTAAGTAATAGAAGAAGATAAAGAGAGAACAGTAAAGGGGGAGTGGTTCTTCCTAGAATGTGTATAAGGATGCAGATAATCAGGTAGAAAATAAGAAATCTGCTCTAAGTGAGAAACTCCGGGAATAAAATTTTTGTCTGATTACTTGCAAGTAGTTTAAAGGATGGAAAGGCAACAAGCTAATAACAGTGACAAGAGAAGGGGAAGAGGCTTATGCATTTTTAGTTAATTTTATGAGGATAATTAGGATTGTGAATATAAACCAGAAAAGCTAATTCCTGTGAGAACTTCTAGAGGAGGGTTTTAGTTTGACTTTCAGAGATGAATGATGCAGAGCTTGCCTGACTTTACCTTATGAGTCCTTAACCTTACTTCTTAGAGGACAGAAAGCTCTCAGTTTTAGGAATATGGAGAAAATATTTTCAGGCCACTGTGGTAGAGATGTAATGTTTGATCAAAATAAAGTTGAATGAAAAATAATTTGTAGGAGATATTTATATTCAGGAGTAGTGTTAGAACTGTCAATAAGTATCTTTGTTTACTAAAAAAATTGTAACTAGATTTTTGCCAGATTTAATTTTTGGTCTCAGTATATCCATATTGTAGTATAGAAATAAACAGATATGTGCATTTCTGTTAGATCATCTATATTTTTTTCCATCATAATTTTAAATATGTTATTATTTGTTGTTATATGCCATCGAGTCGCCCGTGACTCAACTGCTCTAAATCCTGCTCTATCCTGTGCCAGGCTCACTGTCTCCGATACACCTACCGCCAATACCCCAGTCACTGAATCAGTCCACCTCATAGAGGATCTTCCTCTCCTGTGTTGTCCCTCCATCTTCCCAAGCATGATATCCTTCTCCAAGGACTGGTCCCTCCTTGCAACATATCCAAAGTATGTCAGACAAATCTTCAGAATCCTTGCCTCCAAGGAACAACCTGGTTTAACCCTCTCCAGGATGAACCCGTTAGTTTTCTTAGCAGTCCATGGTATATTCAATGCTCTTCTCCAACACTACAGCTCAAAGACATCAATTCTCCTTCCATTTTCCCTAATCATTGTCCAGATCTCTGATGTATAGCAAGTGATTGCAAAAACCATGACCTGTATCAGGTGCACCTTTGTCTCCAAAGTGACACCATTGCTCTTCAGTACTTTAGTCCCTAACAGCAGAAGTTCCCATCTCAATACATCTTTTAATTTCCTGGCTGCTGGTGCCAAGAGTGTTGACTGTGGAACCAAGCAAACTAGAGCTGTTAACAATTTCAATCTCTCCATCATCCATCCTGATGCTGTCAGCTGACCTAGTGTTGAGAATCTTTGTCTTCTTGATATTGAGCCTCAATACATATTGAAGACTACAGTCCTTGACCCTCTGCAGCAAGCACTTCAGGTCCTCCTCCGGTTCAGCAAGCAGGGTTGTGTCATCCACATAACTCAGATTGTTGATATGTTTGTTGAAAATTTATAATGGAGAAAATAATGTTAGGGAGCTCTGGTGGCCTAGCGGCAAGAAGGTACACTGCAGTCTCTAAAGCACTTGGTTTGAAGCCACCAGCTGCTCCACAGGAGAGTCAATCTCCTCCTGTGAGGTTTAACTGCCTCTGAAAACCTGCCAGAGGGTTAGCCATTGGCTGGTTCCAACTCAACGGTATGCAGCAACAACAACCACAAAAGTGATTTCATGAATATTAAGATTTTTTTAAAGATTTTTTAAAACTTTAATTTGATTGCAAGAAATATGTTAATCATCATAATCTGGTAGTGTATGGATATGAAAAAATAAAAATGATACACAAAAACTGCTTGGCCTAGAATTATATGTTTATTTGCCAGTGTATTCATATATCACCAGATGTATTTATCAGAGTCTGAGGACTGAGAATAGCACAATAAAATGTTTTGGGGTTGTTTTTTTTAAAATTAACTTTGAAAAAACACTGTTCTTTCATTCTGTGGTTATAGTTGTGTTATTTTCTTTTTAAGCCTGTCCAAATTTACTTGCCATCTCACTTAATTCTAAGAAAGCAGTTTATGTTTTCCAAATGTGCAGATGCTATCTAAGCGTATTCACTTGTAAGTAAAATAAAAAACTAACTAGATTTTTATATAGTCTGACCCTTTGAGATCTCCTTTGCTCCATGGAGGGATTTTTTTTTTTTTAACCTTCTCATTTAATGAAATTTAGTAAAATTAATTAAAGGCTTTTAAGAAATTAATTCTCAGATTTTCTATCAATGATATTTTATGTTTAGTGCTTAAATATAATACTCTTATGATTTTTAAAAATCTTTTACAATTTTAAGTTATCAAGCATAAATTGAATTTTGTGGATTTTATGTAACTATATGAACTTTCACATTTATAGATTTTTGTAACCACTCCTACAATAAGGATATAGAACAGTTCAGTCACTCTAGAAAGCTCACTTCTTAGCATATTTTTATTCTTAATAATGCCTAAACCTCCACAACTGTTGTTATATAGAGCATATATTGTCTGTTAAGCATGTAGTAGAAAATAGCTGCTTTATGATTTTGGCAATTCTGCATTCTACCCTCATTTCTACTGTTTTTAAAGTTCTAATTGCTAATTTTGCACTTTGTTGATTTCTAATCAGTATCAGGGACGGTATTAATTTCTCATCTCTAGTTAATATCATCAACTAATCCAGTCCTAAACTCTTACCTCAGGAGATTTCCTAGACGATGGCATTAGTGAATCTGCCCTTGTTCATGTTACATCTGTTTATAAGTAACACTTTGTTCATCGTCTGCATTGTTTTTTGAACTGCCAGTTATCTGATGTTAATGCTAGAGATTATTATCTGGAGTACACAAGAGAATCACTGCTGTGTCTCTCTTTTTATTGGCCTTGTGGATAGGAGTCTTTCTTCTTCCGAGCATTTTAATGGCTTTATGCCATGCTTTTTTTTCTTAATAGTTAAGTACTTTCATCACTGTATGTTTCCCTGAATATGTAGAATACATGTAAATCAGTAGGGGGATATCACGAATTACAAGTCAAAACTTTACTTGATCTATAGTTAAACAAGGGATGCATATTAACCAGTCTGCTGTGGGCATTGGAGTATACACTTGTGACATGCATTTCCAGCAGAATGAATTTCAATCTATAGTACATGAAAGATCATTTATTATTTTACAGTACTGAAGAACATTTTGCATACTGTGATATAATCCTGTCATTTATGAATTTGCTATGAATAAAAATAAATATGCTTAAATATATATTTAAATCTGTAATAATTATTTTTGAGATCTTTTGAGACCATGACTTTGGGGAAACAGTATTAACCTTGTACTTTGGAGCTTGAGTTTTCTTGTTTCATGATTCTTTTAAGGTTTTTTTGAGCTCTTTCTATAAATTAGAAGCCCTTGCGGCATTGTTATTGTTGTTAGGTGTCTTTGAATCGTGTAGGAGTCAGAGCAACCCTATGAACTACAGATCTGAACCGTGTCCTGTCCTGGGCCATCCTCACAATCTTTGACACTCTGCATTTCTGCAGCCTATTGCTATAGTCACTGTGTCAGTCCGCCTAGTGAAGGGTCTTCCTCTCCTTCCACCAGCCACAACATGCGAGAGAGATGAGCAGTTTTCTCCTATGAAGATTTACAGCCTAAGAAACTTGGTGGAGTGTCTTCCCAAGTCAAAACGAACTCAAAGGCAGTGGGTGGGAAATATAAATATACAGTTTCTCTGAGTATGGTGATTTTCCTCCACTTCTTGTTGTATGATCTTTTACCATTTTTGTGTCTTGGTGTTTTAATTCATGGAGAAAAAACAAACATATTACTATTGGGTGAGATTCTTTGTTTTCATCAATTGAGAACTAAACACAATAAGGAATAAAAAAAACTATGTTTACTTGCTCAACACTGTTCTCTATAGCTTTAAGTTTTAACTATTTTATAATTTCCTCCTCAGATGGATCCTGTTCAAAAAGCAGTCATAAACCACACATTTGGAGTGTCCATTCCCCCAAAGAAGAAACAAGTTATTTCTTGTAATGTATGTCAACTTCGCTTTAACTCGGATGTAAGTATCACTTTTTTGTTTTCTATTTTCTATAGTATCTCAAGTGAAAAGTCTGACTGACCTGAATATGTACGTTTCTTCCTATTTACATACTTCCTAATAGCAACTCATATTCATAGCCCACCCATTTCAGTGTGCCAGACTTCCAGCGGTTGGGATTCAGTACTAGAAACTTGAACAATAAAATAGATGGTTTGTAAGCTATTAAGGATTGCCCCAAGTATTAAGGCATACCTAAAATTTTATATGCAATCTTACCAATTATATTTACTTGCCATAAATACTTCAGTAGCACAAGGCATTTTTTAAATTTTAAAAATGCAAATTATAAAAGTGTAACAAACACTGACAAAAATCATTGTTAATACAGTTATTTCTCAAATGGCACACTGCAGATATGTGTCAAATCTTATTAAATCCTTCAGTAAATTGTTTACTATTCAAGATATATTTTCCCCAAAGGAGAAAACTGTAAAACGTTTTATCTGGTCAACATGACCATCCTACTTAAAAGATAGCAAGAAAGAGATGCATATCAATGACTGTTAAAGTGAAGATTTTAATGTATATATAAACTAATGGGAAATAAAAATTAAATACTATTACTGTATATATATTCAATACCAATGATAAAACAAGTCCAAAGTCCAATATAAATCTGAAGGCTGTGTGTATTATGTTATAGATTCTGAGTTACTCAACCTTAGACGTCATTTTCTTGGAGCATTTTTTTCTAAGGAAGCCAGAGCACTTCCAAGAATTAACACTTGGTGAAAATGTGTAAATAATTTCACATCAGCACTATCATAAAAGTGAGTCACTGTAAAGGAAGAGATAGGTTTTTCATCATTTATAGATTTATATCTCAATTAAAAGCCTAAAAAATGGGGGGGAACAACATGTGTGATAAAATATTTATCAAGTCCATGTTCATTAATTAAAAGATCTCTACCAGGGAGCTCTAGTGGCCTAGCAGTAAGAATCTGCACTGCCATCCCAAAGACACACAGTTCAGATCCCCAATCTGGTCTACCAGAGAAGGATGGGTAATATCTTCCATGTGATTACTGCCTCTGAAAACCTAGTGGAGGGTCAGTTTCAACCTGACGGCATACAACAACAAGCGGAGTAATATTCAGAGTTCATTCTTTATCTCAATATTTTCAAGATGTCAGTTTCCCTTAAATTGATCCATAGATTCAATACAGTTCCAATCTAAATCCAAATTGGCATTTTATTAGAAATTGACAGGCTGATTCTTATACAGAAAAGCAAAACCTAGAATAGGCAAAACATGTTTTTAAGAAAGAACAAAAATGAATTCTTTGCATCCTGATTTCAATAATTAATTATAAATCTATTGGAATCAAGACTATGGTATTAGTGAAATAATATGCACATCAGCCAGTGAAACAGAAGAAGAGTCTAAAAATAGACTCCTAAAGCATACCTACATGTCAGTTGACTTACCACATGGTTACAGACAAATAAATGGAAAAAGTCTAGTCTTTTCAACAAATTATTTTGGGACAATTTTATATTCATGTATAAAACAAGAAAAACCTTTACTCTTACCTCATACCAAATATAAAAATCAATTCAACTGAATAATAAATATAAACCTAAACTATAATATTTCTAGAAGGAACCATAGGAGAAAATTCATATGATGTTGGGTTACTCAAAGATTTATTGTTGTTGTTTTTGTTATGTGCCATCAAGTTGCCTGCGACGCATAGAGACCATGTGTACAACAGCCCTAAACCCTACTCTATCCTGCGCCAATCTTATTGTCTTTGACACACCTACTCCTTTTACCACAGTCACCAAATCAATCCATCTCATCAAGGGTCTTCTGTACTGTCCCTCCAACCTCCCAAGCATGATGACCCTCTCCAAAGACTGGTCCTTCCTTGAAATATGTCCAAAGTATGTCAGACAAAGCTTCAGAATCCTTGCCTCCAAGGAGCAACCTGGTCTCACCATCTCTAGCAGTCCATGTTATATTCAATACTCTTCTCCAGCACAACTGCTCAATGGCATTAATTCTCCTTCTATCTTCTCTAGTCATTGTCCAGCTTTCTGATGCATAGCAAGTAATTACAAAGACTATTGCCTGTATCAGGCGCACCTTAGTCTCCAGACTGACATCATTGTTCTTCAGTACTTTGGAGAGGTCTCTGACAGCAGGCTTTCCCAATGCAATTTGTTTTTTATTTCCTGGCTGCTGGTACCAAGAGTGTTGGTTGTGGAGCCAAGCAAACTAAAGCTGTTAACAATCTCAATCTCTTTACCATCTATCCAAGATTTATTACATAAAAATAAAAAGCATGCGCTTAATATATTGTCCATAAAAATTAAAAAATAATAGTTACACTATTCAGACAAATAAAAAAGACTGAGATCATATACTACAAAATCTAGAAATAACTGCTAGAGCACAATGTAAGTGGTATGAGTTGAATAAACAAAAAGAAGAAATAGAAAAGACAAATATCTATATAAAATGGTGTTCAATATCATCAGTCATTAAGTAAATGCAAATTAAAATCACAATGTAATATCACTACGTATATATATTGGTATTGGTATATGATAGCTGGATCTGATTCATAGCTTACCCTCCAGTGAGTTTTCAGAGGCTATAAATTGCACAAGGGGGAATTACTTCTCTTCCTTACCAGAAACGGCTAGTGAATTCCCAGCGCCCGCCCTTTGGGTTAGCAGGGCAACTTCTTACAACTAGGTCACCAGAGCTCCCTACATACTTATTAGAATAATGAAAATTAAACAGATTGGTAATAGCAGATAAGGAGAAGAGTTATTTGAACTTTAACGTATTTTTAGTGATAATGGAACACAATGCTTCTTGTTATGTGCCATCTAGTCAGAACAGATTCATAGCTCAACCTCTAGGTGGGTTTCACAGGCAGTAAATCACACTGGCTACTATTTATAAGAAACTTTATAAAGTTGTACATAGCAATATTTCTCATTTTGGGGTTGTGCACCATCAAGTCAGAACTGACTCTTAGCTGACCCTGCAGTAGGTTTTCAGAGGCTATTAAATCACACAGGAGAAAATTTCTCGTCTTTTTCCCACAGAGCATCTAGTGGATTTGAATAGTGTATCTTTGATGTGGCAGTGCAGCTCCTTTCCACTAAGCCACCAGAGCTCTCCATTTACCATTGTTGTTGTTGTTGATTGCTGTAGAGTTGAGCATGACTCTTATCGACCCTAAGAAAGCCTGAAGCCTTTCTATAACTATCATAATTTATCATAGTTCATAAGAGTTTCCAGAGGCATGTTGTTTAGGAAGTGGATGCCACTACTTCTACATATCTGTCAAAAAATAAAAGTTCATAAATTATCAAACAATATCACTAATATCACATGCAATCAAAATCTTGCTCAAGATTATCCAGAAATGACTGGAAACGTACACTGACAGAGAACCACAAGAAATACAAGCTGGGATTTGAAGAAGCCATAGCACTAGATATATCATTCCCAAGTCAGATCGATCTTGGTTGAAAGCAGAAAATACCAGAGGAATGTCCATCTCTGTTTTATTGGCTTTGCAAAAGCTTTTGGCTGTGTGGATCACAAGTTCTAACCTTGAGAAGAATGGGAATCCCAGAACATTTGATTTTGCTCATGTGAAACCTATACTTGGACTAGGAAGCAGTCCTCAGAACAGAGCAAGGATACACCACATGGTTCAAAATCAGGGAAAGAGTGCCTCAAGAATGCATGCTGTCTCCACATCTATTCAATCTATATGCAGACCATTTGGGAGGCTGAACTTTATGAGGAGGGATGTGGCATCAGGATTGGAGGAACACCTATTAACAACCTGCATTATCCAGAAGACAAAACCTTGCTAGCTGAAACTGAGGAGGACTTGAAATATTTGCTTCAACAGGTCAGGGACTGTAGTTTTCAACATGGATTGAAGTTCAACATCAAGAAGGCAAAGATTCTCACCACTGGGCCAGTTGACAATGCCATTATAGATGGAGAACAGATTGAGGTTATTGACAATTTCAACTTTTCTCAGTTCTACAGTCAACAACACCCTTGGCACCAGCAGTCACAAAATCAAAAGACAAATTGCATTAGGGAAATCTGCTGTCAGGGACTTCTCCAGAGTGCTAAAGGGCAACAATGCCAGTCTAGAGACTAAGGTGTACCTAATTCAGGCCATAGTCTTCACAGTTACTTGCAATGCTTCAGGGAGCTGGACAAGATGACAGAAGAATAATTGATGCCTTTTAGTTGTGGAGTTGTGAAAAAGAGAATTGAACATACCTTGCACTGCCAAAAGAACTCATATGTATGTCTAGAGAGAGTGAAACCAAGCTGTTCCTTGAAAGCAAAGATTTTGAAGCTCTATCTCACATATTTAGGGCACATCGTCAGGTGGCACCAATCTGTGAAGAAGTACATCATGCTTGAAAGGGTAGAGGGACAGTGCAGGAGAGAAGTTCAGAGCTATTGTACTTAGGGTCACCATGTGTTGCAGGTGACTTGATGGCACATAACAACAATATGTGCTGTTT